ACAGGAATACCCATTCATGGCTGGGAATTCTGCAGTAAGTAATTCACCTCCTGATACCCCAAGACCTGAATATCAGCTACAAGGTGCAAGTCAGAGATGTATGACAAAATATTTTCTACCACCAAAATATAGTGGTGGCAATGTGCACCATATGCAAGATGTCCTACAACAACTTACCAAGGCTTCTTTAACACACCTTCCAAATCTGGAGGACACAGGCAGCAGATGCATGGAAACACCGTGTCCTCAGGTACTGTACTCCCTCTGAAAACTGTCATCATCACCCCCATTCACAAATATTTGCTGCCATCTGTAAATGAAAACTGTTGCTCTACCTACAAAATTCCCTTCCTTTGAACTTGCTGCCATGTTTCAAATTTATATTCAGTTTTCCCAAAACTTCATTTGTATCTCTACAGGTTCTGGTACCAGCCAGAGCACCAAAATGTCTCCAAGTCCTAAACAACATTTTCTGATCCTCTGACTCCAACCTCATTAGGAAGGCTTTGTTTGATCCATGGTTAGTAACTTTACCTACACCTAACTGGTTGCATTCCAGCCTAAATCTATGCATCTTTTCTCCTTCAAGGTTCTCCTAAAAATCTTATTGATAGAGCTTTGAGTTACACTTCCTAATATCGTTCTTTGGCTTGCAATCTATTCTTTCATTTTCAACTTTGGGATATTGCTATTGTTTAGAAAATGAAGGTGGTATTGAATTTAGGTAAGATATAAAGAAAAACAAACTAGTGCAAAAGAGAAAAAAGTGAATTTAAATATCTCAAGCAGGTAAGTAGATGGCAGAAAAAGGGACAGTATAAAAACTTGAGTCCAATTATTTGTACAGGTCCAATGAAGGCTTAAGACAAATATACAGAATTATATTTATTGTAAAAAGTTTTAAATATTGCAATGCATTTGCAGTTGAAATGTCTGTTCTTAATGTCTATCAAAATTATGTCATTGGAAACTCGTGTTCACTCACATGCAGGTTTCACGCTATCTTAAAAGCTGAAACATAAATCTTTATCATGAAATTTATTGAACGTGCTACTTTTTTTATATGACACTAAGGTGGCAGAAAGGAACCTGCATGCTTTGCCAAATAACCTGTAAAGTTGTACAAGGCTAGTCGTACTGGGCAACTTATTAGGCTGCAGAAAAAGATTAGAATAGATATGCTGATAATGACTTTTACTGTTTAAAGGAAAACCGGTATGGTTTTAAAAGTTGAATGTTTTCATCCATGTTCAAGATGCAAGCATTGTTTATCATTTGGTTAACTTTCATCAAATGGTTTTACTGCACACCAATGATAAGACTAAGACTAACACAAGTCATATTTGATATAAGGAAATTCATACAACAAACTGCAATGTTGGGCAGCGTTTTAAATTTAGGACTTAAGCAAATTTTCTAGTTACAGTTAATTTTGACACCTCAGTGATATCAATATAAAAATAACAATGATACTTACTTTAGAAATAATGCAAATAGACACAAATAGTTTCCAACATACTTATTCAGAGTGATACAGTGTTTGGTCCACTTACCATATTAAATATTCAATATTTGAAATTTCAAATATTGAATACTTAATATGGTAAGTGGACCAAACACTGTATCACTCTGAATAAATGTGCTGGAAACCATCATATTTAGAATTTTATCCAAAGACAGATTATGTTCCAATAATCCTCTCTAAATATGATGTAGCTCACACAATGCATATCCACTGTTATTAACATATACAAGTAATAATACTTCCTTAAAATCACCTACATCTTCTTGCACCAGTGTAACCATGAACATGATTACCCAGATGTAAATACATTCTCATCTATCAATATCATTCTTAATAATGAACCTCCACATTTTTGCATGCCAAGAAGAAATCTCTACACCAGCTGTATTGAGGAAAATATTAGCTCTCGCCTTACTTCAACAACTGTAAAATTTAATTTCCCAATTAAAAAACCCTAGATGTTTTGTAGCCTTTGCTTGGGAATTATTTTACTGAGTTATCCATCAGTCTGCTGTCAAATAATTAACTGGTTAAAACGATATTTCTGATTTTTTAAGCATTTTTCTTTATCAACTTGTTTGGGTATATTTTGACTTACGTACATGGCCATCACATCCAAAGATGGACTCGAACCCAAAGAACAAAACACTGTGTCACATTTGACCTGTAAATGGGTACTTTGATATTCAATGCCAGCCTGATCAAAGAAGGCTATCATTGCCAACAGTGACCGATAGCATTCGTTGGTTTGTGAATCTTATAATTAATGCATTAAAAGTATCTTATCAAAATATCTCTTGACAACATACAAAAAGAACTAGAACACAACAAAAATGGCTGGTGCTAACCACCAGGACATCCTACAAAATACAGAGTTAGTCCTCTACTAATGCATATTGTTAGAAGTTTAACTGGGACTTAACAATGGAAGGAACAGACTTTTGAATACTTGTACCATGGTTTTCGCCAGCTTGTCCAGAAAGCCACATTAGCCAACTACTCAAACAGCAACCTATTCTGTGAGACAGCAATACAAAGTATATTATTACATTTGATGAGCATCCTGGTGCAAATGTGTATCGATTTCTAGAAATATATTTTCAGTGACAATCTATTGAAACCGTATCCCATTGTTTGTTGCTTCAAACAGGTATCATCTTGAATTTTTGTTTTGTCTAAAGCCCATATAAGGCCAATTCTGTGCACTTGCATCCACCTTGTAATGTTGTAGAACTTCTTCAAGATGAGGTTGTGATGTTTTGTGTGGTATAAAAAGTATCTTGCAATTATTACCGAGATAAACCCACAAGATACAGTTGCATATAGATCACTTTAATAGAGTAATAATTCAGGAGTCTGAAGTAATGACCTGGAGACACAAGTTCAAATTCCATAATGGCAGCTGGTAAATTTAAATTCAACAAATTAAACAAATTGAGAATAATAAAACAAGTATCAGTAATAGTAGTAGTGGTGATCATGAAACTAATGGATTGGCAGAAAAACCCATGTGGTTCACTTACCTCCTTTAGGGAAGAAAATCTGTATGCCCTTACCCATATGAGCAAATCAACCCCCATAGCAAAGCAGTTAACTCTTAGTCCCCGTCTGAAATGGCTAGCTTGTCACTTCATTCTGATTATGAAAGTAGATCACCAGCACTTTTGAGGGCAATTAGGGATGGACAATAAATTCTGGTAATGCCAACAATGTCCATATCTCATAAATTAATTAAAAAACTGAAGGCTTTTTCTAAGAAAAAAAGGATTTTGGACATTAAAAGAGTATCAAAATCATGATATCAAAATCAATTCCCAGTACAAAACACAAAAAAAAACTGTGACAACTTTACATCAAAGACTCAAAGAATACTCCATGTTAAAAAGAATATTCTCATAAAATCTGATGTACATAGAACACCAAAAAGATTTTTGGGTGGAGCAGTTTAGAAGACATAAAAATTCTTTCCAAGCTGGAAAACATTGAAATTATACTTTTACCATGGCACAGATTAATATTTGAAACATTACCAAGCCTTCTGTTGAGCAGATGTTTCAGAAACTTCGTACTCAATTGTTCTTGGTTGTACTGAATATAGGCCATTCTTGGGGCTTCATTTTGCAGTTACATCTTCCTGTATTCTTTCCAAACAACGATCACTTCTTTTCTTCTTCAAGTTGTCAACTAGTTTTTGCTAAATGCTTTGATCAATTTGGAATCTATCACCATTTTCCAATAAAGCATTCCACATTTTGTTCATTCTTTTCTTGAAAACTAAGATAATTAAAGTCAAAAATGTTTACGATCATGACCTTGATTTTACCAATTGATGGAAATTATCTGTTTATGCCATTGATTCCTTTTATCATTTGGCACATACTTCAAACCTAGAGAACACAAGATTGATTTCCACTAATAGTTCCTCATAACTAATACACTTCATCTCTGGTATCTGTTTTTAAGGTTATTCTTTCCATGCATTAAGTGCTAAAAATTGCACATGGTAGTTCAGACATGACAGACCCATCATACTGCACAGGCTCATTACCTCTATTTCTACAGATAAAATCTTGACTTGTACATCATCTGGATCCCTTTGCTTGATAATAAGACTGAGAAACTTACCAGTTGAGATTCTTATGCCTTTTTTATTCCTCATTTACAAATATTAAATGAGATCTGTCACTTACCTGCCATTTTTTTAGATGGTTTATGCTTTCTTGTAATCTGCCTTTTTCTTGGCAGTTCATTATTTTCCGTAGATTTCTATTTTAAGCACGCTTTGATCGGCCCACAAATTATTTCTGAGAGTGATGTAATTGTTCTTTTCTATCTGAAGTTGAAATGTATGTAACCTTGGTTTGTTGATATGCATTTCACAAATAAGAATTAACCAACTTACATGACTTGAGGACATCTGGAGCAGTTTACAGCTAATGAAGTACTTTTACATGTAGTCACTATTGTATTGCAGGATGTAATGCAATATAATGCTTTGTTGAGGCTTTTTTTCAGGTAGATACCTTGTACAATTTGTAAAAATCAACAAGTTGCAGCAAAAGCTACTCTAGTTACACCTAAATGGACTTGCTTAACTTAACTGAAAATAGAATGTTATAGGGAGGACTAGATCATTACTGTGTGATCTAGGAGACTAGATAGAAAATGATGAGAACATTGGTAAAGGATTAACTTCAGTGTGCTTGGGCATAATACTCTTGACTAGTCTTCTCTCTACATCAGTTTATTCCTGTATAATATATACCAACAATTAGTTACTTCTCTGACTCCCTAAAGGAGAAAGAAGCAGGTCTGAGCATGTGGAATAGGTTCAACAAGAAATAAGGCTGCAAATGGAAAATTATATCCTTACATTTTACCAAAGCCAAAAACCAATTAAGAAAATCACATGGTATAAAAATCATACACTTTCCAAATAATACTGTAAATCTCCATGGCCAAGAATGACCCCATATTTACTGTGAAATCATAAATTAGGCTTTATGTAGAAATCCAGACATGGAATTATGCACATTTATGAGCATAGTCTCAAGTATGTATTGAATTAAAACAAATACAGAATTTTAAATCAAAGCACTTGCTCCAAAAAACTGGGTGAATTGTAATACAGGGTTTGTGGTTGAATGGGTACAAAGAAACCAACTCTAAACTAAGATAATTCTCTTCACCTTTGAATAGTGCATTGATGAATAAACATAGGCCAGAATAGTGTGAAGGGTGGAAGTCAGTGTTCATCACAGATCGCTATCCTCCTATATATCTTTGTAAACATCTACAATTCTTGAGAGGTTGGCAGCATACAGGCATTTTACAATGATGATGTTGATTTAAGAGTTCTGGAAGAGGCAGATAGTTGTAGCATGTGGCTGGACAAAACAAAGGAGGATCTTGCATCTTTCAGACATAAGCTGAGCTTTTATCAACTATCTGGGAAGTCAGAGTCCCATGGATGAATTCATTCTTTTGCTTCCAGGAAGAGTGTTTCCTGAGGATAGAGTTTCACCTCCATTAATGTTTCAGTTGGATCAAACTGAGTCACCTGTTGGAAAAAGACAGTCCCCATTAGATAGTATTTCATTATAAAAGTTCTAATTTTGATGTGTTTAATTAGCTTACTGTTTCACTGGCAGAAAATTGGATTAAGCAATAGTTGTCGTCATTTTCCCCACACAGTAGACCTGATACCTTATAATAAGAAACATGTCTAAGAACAAACTGTTCACTGCTCATTTAACCTGGAATCTTAAGATCTATGCATTTAGACAGTTCTTTGCTACATACAATTCATCTGCTCAACTGTAGACCATTTTAGCGATATTAGAAACACTGTCCTCTTCTGAACAGCGAACTCTGTTGCCAACTTGACCTGAATCTTGGACACAGGAGCTTATGTCTTCCATTAAAGTGGAACTGGGGCATGACTTTAGTATAGCAGGACAGTTGCCTGCCACAAAGATGAGTTCTGACATCTTCTTATTTTCCTACCTTAGTGTATTTGTTAAACTTTGTAAACTTCCGAGCATCCACACTGAGTTCATATAGAAGGGAGGGTAGCAAATAACTGAGGGGGGTCTTGGAGGTCAGTTCCTACTAGTAGCTTCAACAATGTGATGATAAAGTGTACAATGAATATTCAGCTTTATCAAATTTAGCATCAAACCCTATGCAATTATTTGTAACTAATTTCATTATCCACAGAAATGGTAATTCCACAAAAACAAGAATTAGGAGCAGGAGTAGGTCATTCAGCCCCTTGAAGCTACTTACCATTCAAAAAGGTCATGACTGACCTAATTTTGGCCTCAACTTCACTTTCTAGTTCGCCAGCAGTCACTAAGGACATCTGTAATCAGCGGGGAAGAACTGATATCTCTGGCACAGATTATGGGTAATATTTAGGATAACACTTGGCCTTATTTGTGTTGCATCACAATCCAACTGCTTAATATTTATGGCCAACATTTTGTACTTTCTCCCCTATTCCCACCAGAAAATCCAATAAAGAGCAAGGATGAGTGCAAAGTTGCCAGATAAAACTGCTGTTGTACTTCCCATCTTTCTTTGTTCCATTGAAAAATGTGCACAAAAGAGGGCACAAGGTCCCTGCTGGAATAATTACTCACAATACAGGTCAAAAATAGTACAGGCAAAAGAAAAAGTATCCTTCATACGAAAGTGCTTAGTGTGAATACGTACATGAACAAATTTGTCATTTTTCAGAGTTCAATTTTATATGCTTTGCCCTCACAGTGTATTAGTAGAGATCAGAGAAAGAGCAATTACATTGGTGACATTGTATTAAGAATTCACATTTAAGTCTATAAAAGTTGTAAAAGAATCATCTGTTAAGTAACAAATGAAAGTAACATTTAAACACTGCTTCACAACAACTAGAGCATAGTGCCCTTACAGGAACTATTGTGCAAGTGCAGTGGGGTGGTAACAAGGTCATTGTGGTTCATTAGAAGAAAAATTCCTGCAATTCAGTATTCAAACAGGTGGGATGTTGAAAGTATTAATATATGCTGAGAGGCATGCATTATCACCATTCACAATCACAGCACAGTTCAAGTATTTAAATACTTTTCAACTGTACTCAATAATGTTAGGGCTTACCTTTTTAGACTATATTTAACACAAAATTTTAGTAGTTTAGACAAAACACGTATCATGCTAAATTTTCATTTTAGTCAGCTGGTTGACTAGTTTATGAAAGACTCAGTTTGTAAAAGCGATTAATATAACTAAAAAAGTGGAAAGCATTTGTAATGGCATGAACTTTAAAAAGATCAAAGACTTCAATTTACACCTGTTGCTTTACACCTGTTGCAAACTTTTAACATTTATGAAAGGTCAAATGATATAAAAATTAGCTATAACACCGGAAGACAAAGTATAAATCAATTGTGCACCTCTGTTAATTGCAATGAAACAGTACACACTTACACTTCATGCTACAAGTCACTTCAACGATTTTAGCTTCCAGCTAGCACCAACCACACTGTTGACTGTTGGACTTATTACGAGTAAGGTATCATAAGTAGCTAGCACCATTCATACTAGACTGCACCTCATAGAGGAGAGGGGCACTAAAGCAGGGGCAGGTATTCACAGGTATGAAGGGAATGGATTTCATCCAGGGAATGCAAAACATGGAGGAATCAGCGTTCCTAGATCTTTGAAGGCTTCAATGCAAGCTTTGCTGCAAGGACTTCGAGGCCATCAAGATATGCACATAAAGGGCAATGAGAGCAGATAGTTATGAAGGTCAATGTCAGAAGTCTAGCTCCAAGAATCTGACCAAATTACTGCAATTTGTTCAATGACCTAATAAGAGTGTTCAAGGTCAGTGATTACATTTTCAAACATTATTTTCTACCAAATGAGTTAACTGAACTAAGACACTGCACAATTCATTATACCTACATAGAAGATGGTGTAGTGGTAATGTGGCTGGACTAGTAATCTAGAGACCCAGGTAACGCTTTGGGGACCTGGATTTGAATCCTAATCTGAATTTTTAAAAATGTGGAATTAAAAGCTTAATAATGATCATAAAACCATTACTGAATGTTATAAAAACTCATCCAGTTTACTCATGTCCTTTGGGAAAGGAAAACTTCCATCCTTACATCATCTGGCCTGCATGCGATTCTAGGCCCACAGCAATGTGGGTAACTTTCAACTGCCCTCTAAAATGATCTGACAAGATACTCAGTTGTATGAAGCTGCTAAAAAGATGCAAAGAAAAAAGAGAAACTGGACAGACCACGTGGCATCAATGTAGGCACCAAAACAATAACAGTAAATTTCAGGCTCCTCCTGATGTCCCCAGAAGATCATATGTCAGTCTTCAGCCAATTTGATTCATATCAAGTGAGGCAAAGAAATTTCTGAAGACATTGGATACTTCAATACTATGCATTCTGACAACATTCCAGCAATAGTACTGAAGACTTGTAATGGAGAATATGTCACGCTCCTAGCGAAGCTGTTCCAGTACAACTACAACACTGGCATCTACCCGACATTATGGAAATATTTCTAGCAACGTACTGTGCACAAAAAAGGGACAAAATTCAACCTAGCCAATAACACACCCCATCAATCTATCTTGATCATCAACAGAATAATGTAAGGGGTATCAATCGTACTATCAAGCAGCAGTAGCTTAGCAATAATAACATTGTTACTGATGCTCAATTTGAGTTTTGCAGGGGGCAGTGGAGTAGGACGCGCCAACAGGAGCTCCTCTGCTCCTTTTGTTTATTTCCCTGTTTTCTTCTTTCATTCCCCCACCCTTTTTGGTGTTTTTCCCTGAGGCAGAGCGGGCTGGAGGAATGGAGCAGAGTGGGCTGGAGGCCCGGGTGGAGCAGGGACGGCTAGTGGGCTGGAGGCCCGGGCGATATGGGACGGATGTTGGACTGGGGACTGGTGTGGGTGGTCAGCGGCTTGCGAGCCTGGTCAGGCTACATGTGGAAGCCCCTGCATGGATCCACTGTTGGCCCTTTATAGAAATATCATAGTGCTTATCTTTTTAACTTTATTTCTCTGTTTTCTAACTTATACTATGAAAAACTGTAAAGTAATGTAACTTTTTTCCCTTCTTTTTCCTTTATTCTTCTGTTTTGTATCTAAGATCTGTGCCTAGGTACTTTGTGCCTAAGATGGTACTATATGGGGTAACATTGTAAACTTTTCACTGTACTCTTGTATTACCGTACTTGTGAATACATGACAATTCTAATTCAACTCCTCACCTCATTATAGGTCAAACCTGGACAAAACATCTGAAATCCAGAGGAGAGATGAGAGTGACTGCCCTTGACAACAAGGCTGCATTTCTGCTAGTTGGAGTCATACCTAGCACAAAGGAAGATGGCTGTGGTTTTTGGAGGTCACTAATCTCAGCATCAGGACATCTCTGCAGATCTTCTTCAGGATAGTATCCGAGGTCTAACCATTCTCAGCAGCATCAACAATGATCTTTCCTCCATCATAAGGAAAGAAGTGAGGATGTTCACTGATGATTGCATGATGTTCACACCACTCGTGCCTCCCAAAGTTTTGATGCAGTCCACATCCAAATGCAGCAAGATTTGGACAATATCAAGGCATGGTTGACAAGTGGCAAGCAATATCCATGCTATAAAATGCCAAGAGAGAATCTAATCATCGCTCCTTAACATTCAATGCCATTACCAAAGCTGACTCCCCCACTATCAACATTCTAAGGGTTAGATCAGAAACTAAACTAGATATGCTGTATAAATACTGTGGCTACAGGAGCAGGGCACAGGCTAGGAAACCTCCTGCAAGTATGATGGAATACTCCCCACTTGCTTGGATAAATGCAGCTCCAACAACACTCAAGAAGTGTGACACTCTCCAGAACAAAGCAGCCCACTTGACTGGCATCACATTCACTCCCTCTACCACCAATGGATGAATCTATTTGGCTCTTTAGCCTTTCTTGAAAAAGGTAACTAATACTCGAAACACTACTGCAGATGTGGTCTCACTCATGTGCTGTAAAATTGAAGCATAACATTTGTTTCAATTCTCCTTACGATAAATGATAACATTGTATTAGTTTTCCCAATTACTTGTATACCTGCATGCTAGCTTTTTGCAATTCATGCACCAGGTCTCTCACATCACTGTGCAGACTCTCAATACTTAAATAACACGTTTTCTTTATTCTTTCTGCAAAAATGGACAGTTTCACATTTCCTACATTATACTCCATTTGCCAGAATTCCCACTGATGTAATGTAACTGAATATTTTTTGTACCCTCCTTATGACCCCTTCACAACTTACTTTCCTATTTATCTTTGGGCCATCAGCAAATTTGACAACCATACCTTCTGGTCCTTCACTCAAAAATTGTGAACAGCTGAGGTACCAGCATTAAACCCTATGAGACACCATTTGTTACATCAAACCAACGTTAAAAATATTTATTTATGCCTACTTTTGCCTCCCGTTAGCCAGCCAATCTGATATCCAAGATAATATGCTACCCCCATACCATGAG